AACATAAATGCATACTCCCACTAGAGTGAAGCTTCTCTGATTTGTAACATACTCATATGAGCAGTATGCTTGTGGAAGACCTTATATGTTACACCTTTAGCTAGATGGTCTGCTAACATAGATTTTGTCCCTAAATGTTCGATTGAAATATGATGATCTTTCATCTTCTCCTTCACAACTAGGAACTTAATGTCAATATGCTTTGACTTGGACGAGCTCCTATTATTATTGGAGTATTCAACGGCTGAATTTTTGTCACAAAATATCTTGATAGATTTTTCAACCATTGAAATGATTCGTAGCCCTGTGACAAGATTCTTAAGCCAAATTATATGTTGTGATGCCTCAAAACACGCTACAAACTTAGCTTTCATAGTGAAATTGGTAACAAATGTCTATTTAGCACTACGCCAATCAATGGCCCCACCAACCAATATATAAACATAGCAAGATGTAGATTTCTTACTATCTTGGCATCCCGTAAAATCGGAGTCAGAGTATTCAACAATCTCCGAATGGTCTGACCTCTTATATGTGAGCATGTGATTACTAATTCTCTTTAGGTATCTTATCACCATTTTGGCTACATTCTAGTGATCCAATCCTGGATAACTGAGGTATCTGCCTAACACACCAACTATGTATGCAATATTTGGACGCATACATACTTATGCATACATGAGGCTCCCAACGCTGAGACATATGAGATCTTTTTCATTTACTTGATTTTCAAATTTACTTTAGGGCACTGGCTGAGACTTAATTTCTCTCATTTAACTACAATGGTATCTACTGCATGTTGAATCGCTTGAGTACCTTATTAATATAGCTCTTTTGAGATAACCCGAGAATACACTGAGATCTATCACGCTATATCTGGATCCCTAATACAAAAGATGTTTCACCAAGATCTTTCATTTCAACGTTACTCGAGAGAAATTTCTTAGTTTCTTGTAACATGCACACATCGTTTGTCGCAAGCAGAATGTCGTCCATATACAAAACTAAGAAGATAAATTTACTCCGACTAAATTTGTGATAAACACAATCATTAACATTAATCTCAAAATTATATGAGAGAATTACTTGATGGAATTTGTGATATCACTATCGAGACGCTTGTTTAAGCTCATAGATGAGTTTTCTTAATTTACAAATAATTTGCTTTGGGTCACCGACCTAAAAAATTTCTGGTTGTACCATATAGATCGTTGCATCAATATCATCATTCAGAGACGCCGTCTTGACATCCACCTGGTGAAGCTCTAAATCAAATTGTAACACAAGAGCCATGATTGTCCTAAAAGAGTCTTTAAGAGAAAAAAAATCCGAGAGAAAGTCTCTTTATAGTAAATCCTGTTTTTCTGAATATAGTCTTTACTTACAAGACGTGCTTTATACATCTCCATGTTACCACTTGCATCTCGTTTAGTTTTAAAGATTCATTTGCAACCTACGAGTTTTGCACATTATGGCAATAAGACAAGTTCCCAAACTTTATTGTCTTGTACTGAGTTGTACTCATCACGCATTGCATTGACCCAATTATCTGAATTAGGACCCTTCATGACATGATAAATATTGATTGGATCATCCTCAGTCATGCCATCATTTTTTTCACTTTCTTGAAAAAATGTCACATAATTATTCGGAATGACGTTTCTTCGCTCTTTAGTGGGTCTACAGAATTGCGTTGGCTCTTGAACTATATGTTTTCGAGTTTGATCCATAAACATAGGTTCCTATTCTATATGAACGGATTCCTCGGTCTCACTTTGAAACTCTATGGAAGTTGGAATGACGGCTAATTCATAAAGTATTTGGTAAATTTAATAAGTGATTTTCTTAATCCTCAAAGTGAATTCTAAAACTTTATTCCTCCCACTCCTACCCCAAACTCTATATCCTCAAAGAACTTGAAAGTACCCAGCTTGAGGTCCTCGGCCCATGTGTGTCCTGCCCCTCCAACACCAACCCAATGAGATGTTGCCATATATTTATTTTATTTTGCTAATATTTTACCTTATATTGAATTGCAAGCTAACCGTGATTAAGAAATAATACTTTATCCGTCCATTAAAATTAGTCTATTTGGGTTCGACACGAATATTAAAAAAAATGAATATTTTATTAAAAAAATAATAAAAGTAAGAAAAGTAGTTTGAAGTATTTTTAAAAATTTAATTCGAAATTAAAGTAAATAAAGATAAATAATGTAATAAAGGTAGTAATATTTGTTGTAAATAAATGTTGAATAAAGGATAATGATTAAATATTGATTTGCTGACTTTGCCAAAATTAGTAATATGATAAATTTAACGGACGGACTACAAAGAAAAATGAAAATAACTTTGGCGAATGGAGTGAGTAGTATTTCATTATTTAGTGGAAGTGTACAAGAGTTTTTGATATTTTTGTCCATTCTCTATGGGAATCCCCAATCCGCCTTGGGGAACCCTCCATTTGACTTTATGTATAAGACAATTGTATGTGTAATGATATATTTGTAATTTAAGTAAAAATTCATAATATTTTGATTTACTGTATAATTACTTTTTTTGAAATAGAAAATTGATAATATGAAGTATGACATACGAAATCAATAAAAAAATATAATTTGAATTAAGACATATAAAATATATATAATGAGAAATGTATTGAGAAAAAAAATGTTGAAAGAACAAAAACCCTCAAATTCTTTAAAAAAATCACCACTCAAACATAAATTGTATTTATTTATTTTATTTAAATAATCATTTAATATAATATTTGAGAAATATGCACACATATATTTACGACGTGAAAATCAATGAATATGATCCTACTATACTATAGTAATTTTAGTATTTTTTTAAAATAAATTTTCAATTATTTAATAATCAGCAAAATACGCAGACAAAACAAATGACTCTTATTCAAATGAGTGTTTTTAAAATGGAAAGTTAAAATCATTAAAATAAATAATATTCCCGTCCCAAAGGGGTGTTTTTAAAATGGAAAGTTAAAACCATTAAAATAAATAATCTCTCCGTCATCTGAGTAAATATCCATTTACTTTTTGCACGAAGTTTTATGTATATTAGTATTATAATAATATATAGTAGGAATAAATGTATAAATGATTAAAATATCCTTATTAGTAAAATATTCTTATAGGACGGACCAAAATAAAAAAAAAAAAATTTAAAGGGACGGGAGAGTAATAATAATTGTTAAACCTTAAGTTTAAAAATTTTCACGTTGTTGATGCCGATTTTCAACAATAAAAAGTAAAACTCGAAAATAGAGATTATCTTCGAATTTGATAAAATAAAATGCCTAAGATTTAAGAATCCCTAGATATTGTACGATACATAAACAAAATAGAAAAAATAACTACTACAAACTATAAAAGTAAATGGTGATCCCCAAAAGAAATTCACTGAACTTGATGTCGATTGAAGATGCTTTTTGCCAGTTGTGAACCCCCTCTTATATGTCTTCTAAGTCAGTTATCAGATCGTGCACTACCAGTTATAATTGACAAATAAACCTCCTCGTGTTTACAACCGTCTAAAAAACTGTCTTTGGTCGCATTTATATTTAGCAACCGTTTGCTCAACCCTATAACTTTGAAAACAACCTTCGCCTTTTCAGACGGATCATAAATCACCACTCAACTGAGAAATCGTCTGGACCATCCACCGAATGAACCTACCGAATAACCCAACGATTGACCAACCGACCAATCTAGATACTAACTGGTCGCTAGACCAAACGACTAATAAATCGCCCACGCGAGCGACCACCATTCATTCCCTTCAAACGGCTGAACAACCATTCGTCCAGACGATTCATGGATCGCCCAATCAAACGACCACCTTCCAATCCCTTCAATCGGATGAACAATCATCCGTCCAGACGATTTAGTCGATCGCCCAATCAAGCGACCACTATCCAGTCCTTTCAATCGGCTGAACAAGCATCCGTCCAGACGATTTAATCGATCGCCCAATCAAGCGACCAACTGACCGCCCTTTCAAGCGACTGAACTACTATTTGACCAAATGACCGGTCAATCGATCAGACGATTAACAGATCGCTTAATTAAGCGATCAATTAACAAACCTTTCTTTCAAATCGACCCCTAGAAGCCCACTTTCCTCTTGTCCGACCTCCCTGTCTGCCATCTCATATTTTTTCGCCCGACCTCCTTTTGACCGACCTCCGTATTGGCCGTCTCATCCTTTTTCTCCCGACTTCCTTTTGTCCGACCTCCGTGTCTGCCATCTCATCTTTCTTCGCCCGACCTCCTTTTGACCGACCTCTGTATCGGCCGTCTCATCTTTCTTCGCCCGACTTCCTCTTGCCCGACTTCCGTATCGGCCCTCATCTTTCTTCGTCCGTCTTCCTTTTGTCTGACCTCCGTATTCACCGATATCCTAATCACATGTTTCTTCCGAAAAAACTCATTTCTTAATAACACTTGGGCCGTTTGACTTATATTCAGACTCATTTAGAATCTCACTGCCATTAACAGGCCCATTGAACTATACACTAGTCCACAGCCCTATGCCCATTCTCGAAAACCTTGCACATTGATATTTTCTTATTCAACACGCATAATTAGAGCATCTTGTTTTGTAATCAGCGTGTATGTTGTACTTGTATTACACATTATTATTATTATTATTATTATGTTTTTAAAAAAAAAAAAATTAATCTTGTAGTTTACATCAAAATTTAAATTACTTTTTTAAGCTCAGTTATAGCATCATAAAAAATATGCAATAATTGTATTTTTTATTAAAAATAATTAGTATTGTTAGGTGATACTCTTATAAGAGATTATCGATAGAAACCGGGGCAGCGTACGCGATCGAGATGCTACGAAAATTTCGTGAATGGACGGTCAACATTTTGGCACGTGTAATATTAGCCACAAAACCTTCATCAACGACCGACTCAACTCTTTTCCTAGGGTCTTCTAGAAGCCGCGTGAGTTACACGCACGTGGATATATATACATTTATAATTTTATCTAGAGCGGTACATCTTGAAACTTCCTGATCCTGCGTTAAGGTATTTTCATCGGTCTCTCTCCGGCAAAGCGAAAGTCATGCCCCGTCGCAGCTCCGCCGGTAACATTTTCTGCTCTGAGAAACCTATTGAATTTTGTTATGCGAGGAAATGGTTTGATGTATTGTAATTAAACACGATCATAATTGTTGCGGGATGTTTCAGCTATGCATCTCTGTTATTGCCTTAAACGATTCTGTATCTCACCATTCCTGCGATTGTTTTGTTGCAGGAAGATCTTCTGGTGCTAAACCTCGTCCTGCACCGACCCAGCCAGGTACTTATAATCGTCGATATCACCAATTTATAGTTTAATTACTATCTTGATATTATGTTTTCCGTAAGAGCAAACCGAACATTCGTTCTGGTGCATAACAATGGCTCATTGGCGTCTGAGGTGAGGTTCGTAACTATTAAATATGATGTTGCAGTGGAGCATACTCAAACTCATATAATGGTTAAATTTTTGTGTAAACTATTTTGGAGTCAGATAAATTTTAGTTCTATTTTGAAAAGATATAGAATGTTCTTTCAACTTATTCAGCGTTGAGCATGATCTGAGAGTTTACAATTTTACATCATTGCCTATTCCTACTTATGGTGTCTTATTCAAACTATTTTCTCCATTTCGAAAATCCACATATTATATATATATATGTGCAGCTCGCCATGCACCTCCTCCGGCTCCTGCACAGAGTAGCTCTGGTGGATCCATGGCTGGAGGTATTGGATCAACCATTGTTGAAGGTGAGTGGAAGTGTAAAAGGTTAATGAGCTATGATTATAATGCTCTGGGTAGTGTAACATGAAATTGAATGTTGTCTCATTCTTCTGTTTTCGTTTAATTTTTACAGGTATGGCATTTGGTGGAGGAAGTGCAATAGCACATAGAGCTGTGGATGCTGTTATGGGTCCTCGTACAATTCAGCATGAGACAGTTGTCTCTCAGGCTGTCGCTGCACCGTCACCTGGTGCAACAACCATGGGTGGCTCTGAAGCTTGTGCTTTGCAGTCCATGGCACTCCAGGATGTGAGTAAAAGATTAATATATGTATATATATATATATATATATGATTTCTTTTTGCAGTCTTATTTGATAGAAGGAAACCACAGCTAATAGTAATAATTCGAAATGGTAATTAAAAAAATTGCCCTGCTTTCATGTATATTAGATGAGAAAGTATAGTATAGTAATTAGCACAATGATGATTGGCTCCAGAGGTGTGGATTGTGCACAAAGAGGAAAGATTATTGTGTTTCTTGAACATTGAACTTAAATAGCTGTGTTTCATGTAGTAAATGTGAGAATTAAAGAAATATGTATGTATGTATGTATGTATGTATCTTCTTGATCAGCAGCCAACAGAGTGTTAACCAGATTACCGATCTCCAGCCTTATATCTTTGATATCAATTTATGTTGTAGTTAGTATTTAATTGTAGAGGGTAGGTCGGATCCATCGAACTGAAACCGTTTGTTTATGTGCAGTGCCTGAATAGCTATGGAAGCGATATAAGCAAGTGTCAGTTCTACATGGATATGCTGTCTGAGTGCAAGAAAAGTTCAGGTTCGATGATGAGTTCTTAATCTTGGCATTCCATTTTTCAGAAATGTGGATCCATCAGTCTTATATGGATAGCTATTATCAATGCATAGTTGAGAACTTTGACATTAAAACAGAATTTCAGCACTTGTATTGAACTGCAATCAGAATGTGCTGATAAAAAATGGTATGCATGTGGTGGGTGGGTATAGTTGCAAGGATTTATTCAATAAACTTCATCACACCAGATATGATGATATGATATGGTTGCATTGTTTGGCATTGCAATTATCAGCTCAAATATCTGTCTGTTTTCTACAACTGTTCCTATCATCACTAAATCAACACTTCTGACCATTAAAATCCTCGACCGCGAATTGAAGCAATTACAACAATCTGGGCATATTGCAGCTCAGGTAGAGTTGGCAATTCCCGTTTTTGGTTTTTTTTTTTTTTTTCTACGTGCCAGTCCTGTTTGGCGGTCTAAAACTCCATAAGTTGATTAATTCGACTAGTTTATTCCCACAATATTCTCATCATAATGAATGCAATATCATAAATAAAATTACCATTTGAAATTATTCTACCATAAACCATAATAAATTTATAAATTGTGACAGTAAGAGTGACGTTTGTCAATTAGTTGATAGTTTATTAATTGTTAGCTGATTCAATTTTGTATTCAAGTGTATGGTGGTAAAACAACCGTATGACATTACTTGTTTATATATAAAATCACTATCAAGAATATTGATATTTTTTTTTTAAATATTTAATTTTGTTTATTTTGGTTTGAAATTTATGAGAATTTTTTTTATTAATTATTGAAAATTATAAAAATACTATAAAATATTTATTTTTATTTTTATTATTTAGATATGAGAAAAAATATTTTTACTAATAAATAATATTTTTTATTGAAATTATGTAGAATATAAAATAATAAATTTTTCGTATATATATTTTTATTATGTTAATTATTATTTTAATATATATAAATAAATTAATAACCTTTTTGTTTTTTTTATTTGATTTAGTTTTAAAATTTTATATATTTTATAAATAAAATAATTTATATGTAATAATTAATAATAGTAATTATTTTAAATTTAAAAAATAAAAATATAATAATAAATTAAATATATCCAAAATAACTAATTAATAAATATTGTTATAAAAATATATTTATATATATAAAACAAATAAATAAATTTTAAAAGTAAATAAGGAATAACAAATATTAAAATGAAAAAGTTTTTTTAAAACACTGGGTGGGTGGATGAACTTTTCAAATATTAGCTTTTTTGGATCCAAAAAATTCTTTCAAAAAATTAATTTACCGAACACTTAAATTAATTTTTTGATTGGTCAAAAAGCAAAAAGTTGTTCAATAAGTAAAAGAACAGAAACACATTAAATTTATAATAAGTGAAATTAGAAACCATCACTTGTGTGATTGGAAACCATTTGTTGTTTCTATCATCCTCAGTTTCAGTTTCTTGTTCATATGTTGGAACAAATTTGATGGGATTATTCTTATCAACAAGTGGTAGATCTATGGCTCGAGGCTTGCAACGGCCCTTCAAAAGGAGCAATATTTCACTAAAAGAAATGTGAGGATTATGAATATTTATACTCCATCGAGATAGAGTTTTAATTTGTTTCGTCATTTGTTTATTATGCAAAAGCTACTAATAAAATTCTATAAAAATAAAATACAAAACAATCAAATGATTTATTTGATACAAAATTAATCTTGTCGAGTGTTTTTTTTTTTTTTTTCTCTCAGCCACTCATTTTGTGTCAATCGAATCTCATTTAAATGGTTTATGGGAGGAAGTGGCAGATAATTTGGTGCACGTTGATTTTAAGAATAATTATTTTATTTATAAATTAAAAATTTATATAATCTATTTTAAAAATATCTTTATAGTAATACTAAAAATCAATAAATAAATATTATATATTATTGCAATACGATAGATAACAAACTAGGTTAAGATAAATGAGTAAATAACATACATCTATAATACCAATAAAATGAAATCAACCCATGAATGTAAAAAGCATCTAGTAATTAATTATTAATATAGAAAATTTTAACTATGATGATTTAATTCGCACATCAAGAACTAGGACCACAAAGCGCTATCTTTGTCGTCTTTCCACGTGATTCGGACTCTGTCGTTTGACATTTACGAATAAATTCTTCATATGCATCAATAAGATTCTTTAAGATGATTTAGTATAGCTATTTTGGGTACTTTAGTGAAATTAATATGAGCTTCCTATTTATAGAAGAGAATAATACGAAAAATATACAAATTTGTGCAATATATAAAATTAGTAAGTAAATAAGTTACCTCAATTTCAACCACCTATTTGGATGCATATGTGCCATTTGGCTTTTTCGTCAACATTTTGGGTGCATTTCTAGCGCTGAGAATATTTGGCCAAAGTTTAATTCCCGTTCGCAATTACAATTAGCAAGAATCATACATTTATGTGTTCAAATAAATTGTATAGAATTCAATCCTAACAAAAAATAGTGATTCTTATATTACTTTGTTAATTTTTTAACTACAAATTTTATAAAAAGACAATAATAATAATAAAAAAAAACACAACAAAACAAAAACAGAAGCATTACATATGAAAGTTTAATGATTTAGAACATTGAATTGAATTGAAATATATATATATATATATAATAGCATGCATCACATACATATAAATTATGCAGGATATAGAGTCATGCTGCAAAAATTCTGCATATAAAAGGAATGATAAGTCTGCAACATATAAAAAATAAAATAAAAATCGGCAGCACATGTATAAATCCTACAACATATATCATCACTAAATTATTCCGGCAATATATATATATTAACACTTACAATTATATCATTCAATATGTAAACACAAATCTAAATATATCATAAGGTCATGGAATTGAATGACTTACAAAAACTAATGCTTCAATGTATCATATTTAAATAAGAATAAAATTGATATTAAATTATTATATAAACATAATGAGTGCGCCAAAGAAAGATGCATTCATATATCAATTGCAATACCATTTTTTTCCTAACAAAACTAGTTTAGAAAAATTAAATTCTTAGGAAAATCTCACTAAAATTAAATTCTTAGGAAAATCTCACTATATTTTTTTTATAAGAGATTTTTGCGCATTTTAATTATTTGAACCTAGGTTTATTTATGAAGAAAATTGCAATAATATCTCATATCTATAGTCAATTATCACTTTTATCTTTTAATTATCACCCTGACAAAATATACCTACATGTTCATTTTTTCGTGATTTTCGTCGTTTGTAGCACAATCCACCCGGACCAACACCGTCATGAATTTGAAGCGCAACTAAAGAACAAAAATTACGAAAAAGTGACACATGAAATATATTTTTTCACGGTGAAAATTAAAAGGCAAGAATGATAATTTTTCAGTTCCTAGTCAAAATTAGTTTATATTTTTTTCACATTTTTTTCTTTTTTTTGGCTCTAAACAATTTCGGACTAACAAAAAATTTTATTGGTTGGTTTTTATGCTCGTTTTGGATGAACCTTGCAATTTTTTTTTCACTTCCTTACCTAAAAATTGATTTATTTTTTAACTTTTAGGACTTTTAGGGCCAAAATGGCCTCCAATTGACAAAAAAAACTTGTTGGTTGATCGTTTGGTTTTTTCGGATGAAACATGCAAACTTTATCTAATTGCAAGTTAAAAAATGAGCTACATTTTATTTGGTCGTTTAAGATAAATTGTAAGTTTTATTCAATTCAAATTCTAAAAATAATTTTACATTTTTTGCATTTAGGATTTTAGGGCAATAAATGACCTCGGATCACTACAAAAAAAAATAATATATTTGTAACGGAATTTCGTCCCTAAAGTTCACGTAGCTAATGTGATTTCATTTCTAATTTCGTCTCTAATGTCATTAGTAACGGAAAAAGTAGATTTAGAGACAAAAAAATTTTGTTACAAAAATGATTTTTTCTTGTAATTGATGGACAAAACAATATCGCTGGTTACTTTGTTCGGTTATTTCGGATGACCTCTAAATTTTATGTTTTTAACGTTTATCTATTTTAGGGGCCTAAACGACTTCGGATGGACAAAATAATATCACTAGTTGGTTTATTAGGTCATTTCGGATTAACCATGCGAGTTTTGTATAATTTTGAGTCTGAAAATGGGTGTATATTTTTTTAGCATTTAGGGTTTTTTTGGGTCCTAAATGACCTTGGTTGGAAAAAAGAATATTGTTTGTTGGTCGTATGGTTATTTTAGATTAACCCTCCAAGATTTCTGTAATTATGAGTCTAAAAATAAGTGTACGTTATTTTAGTGTTTAGGGCTTTTGGGGCCCTAAATGACTTTGAATAGACAAAAAAATATCGTTGATTGGTTGTTTGGTCATTTCAAATAAATCATGTGGATTCTCTCAAATTTTGAGTCAAAATGAATTTACGTTTTTTATCGTTTAGCATTTTAGGGTCAAAAATGATGGAAAAGTATATCTTATATGTGTCATTTTTTTGTGATTTTCGTCATCCGTAACATAATCTCACTTCATGTGTGTGAGATTGTATCTGTCGTGAACTTGACACGCAGGCCAAATGACGAAAATCACAAAAAAAAAATATTTTGTAACACAATATTATTTGTGAGGTTTTTTCTAAAATAATTTTTCGAGATAATTTAACAATTTTATGGTAGTGTTATATTATATATATATATATATATTTCTTTGTTTGAATAAGATTAATTAGGATAACAAATAGTTTATTGATAGAAATATGATTTTGGTTGCGATTACTCCTTTAGGTTACGTGTATATATATATATATATATATGTATGTATATATGTATTTTTTAGATTCAAAGTATATTGAAATTCTTTGTTTATGTTTTTAAACAATCTTGAATGGTTACTCCAAATAATGACTTTAATATTATATTCCGTATGTCCTATATTTATATATTCATTTATTTTTGCACGAGTTTTTAGAAATATTAGTATTATATTGGAATATAATAGAAATAAAGGTAAAAAGATTAAATTGTCTTTATTAGTATTGTATGATATAAAAGTAATTACATTTGTATAATATATTGTAAATTGAAAAGGTATTTATAATGTTAGGTAAATAGTACGGTTACTAAAAAAATGAAATAGATACTTTGTTATGGGACGAAAGAAAATTAAAAAATGGATAGATTGTTAAGGGACGGAGGGAGTATATCAATTTTTATTTTTTTCGTTTACTTCTACTTTGATGCACGAAAAAAAA